CACCCATAGAGTCCCAAAGAAAACCCCGTATTTTCAGATATTTAATTCTAATAGAAATCTAGGGTTCTTTTCAACAACATAGATTTAAATGTATTTCGGTTTTTCTTTGTTACCAGCCTATAAATACATGTTTTTCCCTAAATATCAGTATGTTTGCTTAAGTATATTTTCATGAACCCGTAAATTTCAAGCCTTTGGACTTGTGTAATTCAAATTGCATGTTTCGGTCAGGATACAAAAGTTTTCATGATTTACATTATACTCAGTTTTTCAGTCCATATGCATAAGATGCTTTCAGATAAAGTGTCTATTATTTCAGTATTCATAAGCTATTCAGATTATCAATATTATTCAATTTATCAGCATAAATTCCGCTGGGAGTATTACTTAGCACCGAACGGACATAGGGATGAAGGCTCACCTGTCAGTTTAGGACTGAGACCTTTAGTAGCAAACTCTACGTCCCAGAACTACGTGCTATTAGGCTTTTAAAGTTCACCCGTCAGATCAGGACTGACTCCTTAGTCCTTTGGACATCAACTTAGTGAATCCTCGCCATCAGTCTCTTACCTTAGCAAGATATAGAGCACGCTCTAGGGTACAGGTTGGACTCCAACTTAGCTCTGATCAAGTATGTTAGTTTTAGCATCTCCCACAGTTCAATTTCAGATTATTGCATTGACCTGCCTAATTACCTATCCCTAGTACTTTTTCGGCCTACCTCTTCCTCTCCTCGTACTCACTGTATCAGTCCTCTAGCACCTCCTCACTAGAGCTTCTGCGCATCTCCTCTTCACATACCCAAACCATCTCAGTGTCGCTTTCCTCATCTAGTCCACATCACAAAGGCCACTCCCACCTTGTCATGGATATCCTCATTCCTATCTTATTGCTCCTAATATGCCTACACATTCATCTCAGCATCCTCATTTCCACAACTTGCATCTTCCGAACATGGGAGTTCTTGACTGGCTAACACTCTGTCTCATACAGAAAGTCGGTCTAACCGCCACTTTGTAGATCTTACCTTTAAGTTTAGGTGGTACATTTTTATACCTCAAGACTCCGGAGGCAAGCCTCCCCTTCATCAACGTCAAACCAATAATATGTGTGGCATTAACGTCGATTGATGACCCAAGATACTTGAAACTTTCTCTCTTAGGATAGCCTAAGTCAAGCCTCACTTTTATGTCTGCCTCATACATTGCATCACTGAATTTGCAATCCAAATATACAGTTTTGGCCCTGCTCAACTTGAATCCTTTAAATTCCAAAGTTGGTCTCCACACCTCCAACCTAGCATTAACTTTGTTGCATGTCTCATCAATCAATACTATGTCATCTATAAATAACATACACCATGGCACCTCACCTAGTATAAACCACGTCAACTCATGCATCACAAGGCAAATAGGAATGGGAGTGTCGATCCCTGGTGCTCCGAGTCCTCTTCCACTGTTCTAACCCAAGTTTTGGCTCGACCATGCAGGTCCCTCATTTCCCTAGTGTAGGCCACCAATACACCTTTAGCCTCCCGACATCTCCTGAGGACTTCAGTCGGGACTCTGTCAGAAGCCTTTTCAAAGTCAATGAACACTATATGTTGTTAGAACATGAATAGGTTTATACAATCCTATTAGAATAAGAATAGGTTTATACAAACCTATTAGAATAGGAATAGGATTATACAATCCTATTTAGAATAGGAATACAAATAGAAATAGGAATAGTAAATAGTATCCTACTTGGTATAGGATTGTATTCTATTGTCTATAAATAGGGTCTCAATGTAATAATGTAGACACAACAACAATTCAATAATATTCTTTTCCTATATTTCTCACATGGTATCAAAGCCTCTACGATCTTGGCAGAAAATCAAAGAGCTTCCGCTGCTGGCGGGTGGCTATTACTCATATATAGTTGCTCGTTTGGCCAATGATTATGTTAACAAAAGTAGGACCATGATATATGAATGAACCGCATACTCAAGGGAAGAAAACTTAGACAGACTGTGTGCATCAATTCCTGGTGACTTTCTAAGGCTGTTTTGTGTCAACCCCATATCCGTCGATATTTTGGTAGCACCGTGCAATCTTTCCTGTGACTACTTTTTCATATTTAATTTATGTAGCACCGTGCCATCTTTTTGGTGACTACTTTCTCAAATCTAATTTGTGTAGCACCGTGCCATCTTTTTGGTGACTACCTTTTCATATTTAATTTGTGTAGCACCCAGTGTTCTGAATGGCGAGCGCCATTTGCCAAAGGCGCTATGGCGAGGCGAGCCTGTCACGCCATTTCACAGTGAGGCGAGGCGAGATCAATTAGGCGACGTAACGCGACATAATGGCGATCTGAATGGCGGCGCCTTTTTGTTTTAAATTTTTTAAAAAGATCTGACTTAATAATATTAGTCAAAATTAGGGCTTTTTTCCTATTTCCATACTTGGGGTTAGTCACGTTTCTTCTCCTCAACCTCGCGATCTCTTCTTCTCCTTCAGTTGCGTGAATTGAAAGGTATGGCCTCTTTTCTTTCTTCTTCTTTTCAGTTCTCTTCTTCTTCTTTTCTTCGTTTCTTCTCTTCAGTCCTCTTCTTCTCTTATTTTCTTCTCTTCAATTTCTTGTTAAGTGAATCTGAAATTCTGAAATCTGAACTGCCTTCTCAAAAAAAAAAGATTTTGAGATACTACTGCTTGCTGCCTTCACTGCTCTGTTTTTTTCCTCTGTTTTCTTTGTTCACTGTCATTGTTGAATGCTACTGCTTGATGTGCTGTCTATTATTTAAAAATAAATAAATTAATTCTTCTATAGTAATTAATATAGTATTTATTTGTCCAATAGTGAATTCAATGGCGTCGGATGCTAGCAAAAACAGGGACATTGGATGAAATTATGGTACTCAAGGATCAACGAAAGATTCAGTTAACTGTAATTTTTGTGGGAGTACTTTTAATGGTGGTATTACTCGACACAAGCAACATTTAGTGGGTGGTTACAAAAATGTAAAACAATGTTCAGCTTGTCCGTCGGAGATTAGAGAAGAAGTAAGGCTTATATGGAAAATAAAATCGCTAATAATCCGAAATTTCAAGTGAGGCAGCCAGAAGAATATGTTGATATTGATGATATGGATGAATATGCTGAAATGATGCCTCCCTCCAAAACTCCAAAGATAACTTCTAGTGGAGGTGCATTATACACCGCGCGGAATGTGACGAAAGGCCCTATGAATCTCTATTTTCCACAAAAATCAACACAAAAAGGAGGCTTTGAATTGATGAAACCAAGAAAATTCTAAGAGAGCGTGCGGCAAGTGTTTTTGCAATATGGATGTACGATGCGAGGATCCCTTTTAATTGTGTCAATTACAAATCATTTGATAAGTTTATTGAGACAGTAGGACAACATGGCCCCGGAATGAAGCCTCCTACATTCCATGAAGTTAGAGTTACTCACCTAAAAAAAGAGGTGGAGAAAGTGGAAAAAAATGTTGATGAGCATAAAGTGCAATGGACAAAGTTTGGATGTTCCATTATGATGGACAAATGGACGACACGAAATGGTAAAATGATAATCAATATTTTGGTGAATTCTCCAATCGGTAGTGCATTTCTTGGTTCTGTTGATGCTAGCAATGAATCTACCAATTCCACCAAAATGTACTAGTTGTTTGAAAGCACTATTGAAAGAATTGGACCGGGAAATGTTGTACAAATTGTCACCGATAATGCTAGTGAGAATGTTAAAGCGGGAAGCATAATGATGGGTGCGTACCCACACATTTATTGGACTCCATGTGCCGCTCATTGCATCAACTTGATGTTTGGTGACATATTCAAGGTTAATCCATATGCTTCTGGTAATATCACTCTCCTATCCTCTAATTTTCTTTATAGTCAATATTTAATACTCATTAGCTACTAATTACTATAATTTTACTTTAACAGTTTTAAGAAGGCCATCAGAATCCATTCTTACATTAGTCAAAGGCCATTGTTGTTAAACTTGATTGAGAAAAATTCACCAAGGAAAGAAATTTGGTGAAACCTGCCAAGACAAGATTTGCAATGGCCTTCTTAACTTTGAGAGCTATGTACTTACAAAGAAAAAACTTGAGAATTTTAGTCCTCTCAACTGAATGGACTTCAAGTAAATTTGCAAAGGAAACTTTGGGGAAAGAAGTTGCCAACCTTATTATTTCTGCCCACTTTTGGGATGATGTTGTTCGAGCACTTACAGTTTGTGGCCCTTTGACAAAAGTGCTTCGTTTGGTGGATGGGGAGAAAAAACCACCAATGGGCTATATTTATGAAGCAATGGATAGAACCAAAGAAACTATTGCACGCGGTTTTCGTTGAGTTAAGAAGCAATATGAGAAAGTGTTTGAAATTATTGATGCAAGGTGGTCAGACCAACTCCATCGGCCTTTGTATGTTGTAGGCCATGTTTTGAACCCAGGGATTGTAATTATAAAGCTCAAGAAGAGGGAACTTTACTAAAGACTCTGTGGAATGAGTATTATTCATGTGTTGAGAAGATGATCCCCGATTCAGCAATACAAGATTTACTAGTTGTTGAGCTTCCTAGGTACAAAATGGCGGATGGACTATTTGGTTGTGGTCCGGCTAAAAGAGCTAGAGACACAAGGTCACCGGGGTAAGTGAGTTGATTTTAGGTCTTACTTAAATTATTTGACTTATTTATACTCATTAACTTTAAATTATTTTATTATAGTTGAATGGTGGTACACTAATTGATAAGTGAAACACCAAAACTTGCAAAAGTTTGCCATGAAAGTATTTAGCCTAACTTGTAGCTCATCCGGATGTGAGCGAAATTGGAGTGTGTTTGAACACGAAGTAAAACAATTATATCCTAATTTCCATATTATATTATTATCAGAACATTAGTTAATATCTATAACTTATGCGCAGATTCATTCCAAAAAGAGGAATAGGCTTGCACTATCGCGTCTCAATGATCTAGATTGATAGTGAAACACCAAACTTGCAAAAGTTTGCCATGAAAGTATTAAGCCTAACTTGTAGCTCATCCGGATGTGAGCGAAATTGGAGTGTGTTTGAACACGTAAGTAAAAAAATTATATCCTAATTTCCATATTATATTATTATCAATATCTATTAGTTAATATCTGTAACGTATGTGTATATTCATTCCAAAAAGAGGAATAGGCTTGCACTATCGCGTCTCAATGATCTAGTGTACATTAAGTACAATAGAACATTGAAACGTCGTTATGATGCTCGTGATCTCATTGATCCAATTCGCTTGGATAACATTGATGATTCAAATGAATGGTTAGTTGGATGCCCCGAAGATCAAGTAGATGAACTAGTATATGAGGATGATGATCTTACTTGGGGTAGTGTTGCTACGGCAATTGGAGTTGATGAGAGTATCTATCATCTTAGGGGACTTTCTTCAAGATCAAGAGCACTTGACAAGGGCAAATGAGTAGAAACTACATCTACAAGTTCAACTTCAAGTAGGACTCAGACACTAATTGATGAAGAATACGAGGAGGAAGAAGATGAGGAGCAATATAATGATGTAGAGGATGTTGATCTTCAAGAGTTGGATAGTTTTTGAAGAAGAATAGACTTTTTAGAGTTCTAGTATTATCTTTTGAGTTATTGGGTCTTAAAGTTCTAGACTTTTAGTATCTACTATTAGTTTTTGAATTGAAATATTTGTTAATATATGTTATTGCTATTGAGATTTTGGATATTTATATATGCAATTAAATATTTTTTAAATTTTTGGTATTAATTGGCGCCTCGATTCAAAAATGCGAGCGCCTCGCCGCGTGGCGAGGCAGGCCCTTGTCACCTATTGTTGCCTCTCGCAGTCCAAAACACTAGCACCATGCCATCCTTCTGGTGACTATCTTTTTTTGCATATTTGACTTGCATAGCACCGTGCATCTCTCCGGACTACTTTTCATATTTAATTTGCATAGTACCATGGATTTTTCCGAACTACTTTCTCATATCTGAGTTGCATAGCACTGTGCGTCCTTTCGGTGACTCCTCAGATTTGATTTGCATAGTTCCATTCGTCTTTCCGATGACTCCTCAAATCTGATTTGCGTAGGGTTGTGCCATCATTCCGATCCTACCCATATAATGTCTCTTTTTCAGTAGGATCGTGCCATCATTCCGACCCTACCCATATTATTTCTCTTTTTCAATAGGGTCGTGCCATCAATCCGACCTTTCATATATAATTTCTATTTTCTAGTTGAGTCGTGCCATCATTCCGATCCTACCCATATAATTTTATTTCTTAGATTGTAACCTCTTTCAGTCATCAAATCTAATACTCCGGCGTATGAGCATGTTCCAACCAATTTTTCGGTGACTTTCTTGTTTAATATCGACTCATCTATTGATTCCAACATGATCCATATACTTTATACTAGATTTTGAGCACTTTGTTACTCAGGGGAGTGTTAGAACATGAATAGGTTTATACAATCTTATTAGAATAGGAATAGGTTTATACAATCCTATAAGAATAGGAATAGGTTTATACAATCCTATAAGAATAGGAATAGGTTTATACAATCCTATAAGAATAGGAATAGGTTTATACAATCCTATAAGAATAGGAATAGGTTTATACAATCCTATAAGAATAGGAATAGGTTTATACAATCCTATAAGAATAGGAATAGGTTTATACAATCCTATAAGAATAGGAATAGGTTTATACAATCCTATAAGAATAGGAATAGGTTTATACAATCCTATAAGAATAGGAATAGGTTTATACAATCCTATAAGAATAGGAATAGGTTTATACAATCCTATAAGAATAGGAATAGGTTTATACAATCCTATAAGAATAGGAATAGGTTTATACAATCCTATAAGAATAGGAATAGGAATACAAATAGAAATAGGAATAGTAAATAGTATCCTAATTGGTAAAGGATTGTATTCTAGTGTTTATAAATAGGGTCTCAAAGTAATAATGTAGACGCAACAACAATTCAATATTATTTATTTTCCTATATTTCTCACATATGTAAAATTCTTAAATAATTGGACGATGATTTTAAATATAGCACTTGTCTGATTTAGCGGTTCAAAAGTTGCACCACACAATGGACTGAAAGAAAAACTCCCCTCTTTAAGTTCATAGGTAAACAGAAGTTGCTGTAGTGATTCTATCCATTGATGAAGAGTAAGTGGATACTAGTTTCTTGTGATAAAGTTTGCCTTTATGAATCCAACATTTATTGAAAGCTCAGTTTTGGTTGTCCATAAAATAAGTTATTCAAATTGTTTTTTGTCAATATTCACTAACTATAGTCCAAAAGAGTTGTTTACTTTGGGTACCCTGTGTATTGAGAATAAACATAAAAGAGACAACAAAGATACCTCGCCACCATTGACTCCTCCATCATAGCATGGTTTCAGTGTAATAGCACGTTCAATATACGGAGCCCAGCATCCATTGAGCAAATCCCTCCGGATCATCTCTACACCAGCTTGGTAATGCTGCGTTGCATACCCTCACATGTGCTTTATAATTGTATTTCGAGTAAATCAATGGCATATATCAATTACAAACAATAGCCAATGCCAAGTACCTCAATCATATTCCTCAGAAACGGTTCCTCATTAAAGTGATCTCTGCGTACAAAGACAAGTGGCACCTTGTATGCCAAGGCTTCACTTGTTGTGCCATACCCAATTTTACCTGAAAGAAAGTACATGCTTGATATGCAATGTAGTCATACACTAAGGATTATATTTTCAATCTTACAGAGCTTTAATATTCCCTACCAAGCAAGACGTCTGAAGCTGCAATAGCATCAGGGGTGTAAAAGTCTTTCGGAAGTTTTATGAAGTTGGAAGGAATCTCCTGATCTTCAGAAGCACCACAGACCTTTACCAGCAACACAGACCATATTTTTGCATGAAGGTCTAGTAGATTTCAAAAGCAACTACAATGCAAAGTGGAAATTTAACAGAGGATTACAATAACTAACCAAGCATATCCATCCTTCAGGCAGATATTCCTTTTTCAGCTTCCATCCAGCAGGCTGCATGTGAAATAGTATATAAGATTGTCATCAAGTGCACAAGAAATGTGATGCTTGGTCTACTAAAAGTACCTTTGATATTTACTGAACTTCCAGGTGCATTTTCTTTGATAGAAACACCTTATAGTCCAATCACTTATTCCCACAATATCTAGGAAGATTAACTAAACTACACCACCACTGCCTGTTCATGAAATGACAGCAAAACCTAATGCATGAACTATAATTCAATGTCTCAAAACCTATCTTCCAAGTATTCACCAGTAGAAAAATAAAGCTTGAGTTGCTAGGTTGAGAAATTTGAGAAGACTAGTCTCTGGCAAGAAAATATATCAAACACATTTAGTAATCCCTTAAAATGAGACATTTACCTGTCCACCAAAATTATAAATAAGCACTTTTTGTCTGTCTAGTATTCCAAGTTCTTCCCGAACCTATATCATAAGAAAATATTGATCACATGAAAAATTAGGCACATGTCAAGAAGGTGACTTAGGATTGTCAGACACCTTTTCCCGAGTTTTGTGCAACCTTCTCACAACAAGGGGAACATCAATTACATCCCTGAAAGCAGGCACTGCAAGGAATATTGGTTTTAACAAACAAGCAAAATAGAACTATGAGAAATAGAAAAAATAACAAAAATTAATATACTGAGAACAGTACATCTATTCAAATGTAGTACATGAATGTTCAATATTGACTCCAGAACCAAAGCAAAACTGAAATGGGAGAAACCAGGTAAAATCAAGCTGCATAAAATAGTTGAGAAATGGAAATTACATACTTGGGCAGTAACCTGGCAGACGAATTACAAACTCACAGTGAGAATAATCCTCCGCTATCTAGATTAACATCATTCATCGGTCCCATTGATGTTGGATTTTCCCATGGAAGTCGGATGAAAGCAAGGATTAGAAGCATCACATGAGAATATGTACTAATATGAAAACAACCCTCAGTAATGTACACAGACAAACAGAAAATGGTTGCTTTCTTTTAAGCAGGATATTAGGGTGAGGGGGATTCAGAAGTGTAGAAACAAAATACTTAAATAGATTGTTCTACAAATGTTTGAGTATGATAAACTCAAAGTGAGTACAGTTCTATATGATAAAATGTTTGGGGCATAGCAACAAACAAATACAAGTCCTTAATAAAATACCATCATTTACCAGGTGCAGTCCATAGAAGTTCAAAAATTCTTTGTAATGTTTAATATGTACTCTCTCCATAGAAGTTCAAATAAATATTACTGTCTTCCCCTTTTGGGTTCACCATTCCACAAACAGCATTCTGTACAACCTTCACAAATCTTAGTTAAGATCTATTTCTCCGTTATTAGATGCCTAAAACATGGCATACCATGGATCTAAAGACAATGTAAATATCAACAACAATTTGAAATGAGCAAAGAGGTGGAATATATTCATTTGATTGTTCAAAATAGTAGAATATGACTCTTTGATGTCACTTGTCAGAGAGGCAATGTGAGAATGAGAAATAACACATTAGAATTTCTGAAGTCCAAATAAAGAGAACTACAATTTTGAATCACAACATTAAGACATTACTATGCTAGTACTAAATGCATGGTATTTTAGCTGAATAAATACATAGTACCTTCAATATCCTACCCAACAGTTTGATGGTTTTGTGAAGTTCTCTTTCAGAGTATTTGGGTGGAAATGAGAGGGGAAACCTGCCTAGTGGAATATATAACTTTTACATATCTTTTGTGTGGAAAATATCTATTGAAGATTAGTAATCACCTGCCAAATTATTGAACGATTGTGATATCCAGCAGACATGACATAATCAGCATAGATGAAATCCCAACTGCCAAAGTTTCAAACAATAAAGAGAGATAAATTAACTGCTTCCTATCTGTTTATATGGTGGTAATTTTGAATTTCAAGCCAAAAACAATATGATGATGTCATGCATCCTGGACGTAAAAAGAAATTCTAAAGGACGATGAGCCAGTACTCTTTTCTTTCACCTTCCAGACAACAGCCACATAAAATACTTACAATGTAAGTGGTACTCTAATTTCCAAAAGTAATTATGAATGAGCTCATATATTACGGAAAGTTCCTAGTGTTGATTACTTAACTACTGAAAATTTTCACAACCCATTATGAAGTCACCTAACATGTTAATCCAAAGATGTAACTGAAGAGTTAAAAAGACAAGAACAGGTGAACAATGAACTGGTCATGAAAATGAAGGTAACCACCTCAAAAGCTTGTTAATTCGGTGACACTAAATCAATCATCCAGCGAAAAAGATGATAATGTGATAAGTAATCTTACTATAAAAAGTTCTTCAAGACACTCTAGTAGAGACACATCCAGTCATTAATGTTTCAATCCAACATTGATTGCAAAGGGCAACATTCCCGTGCCCCTGTTCTCTCTCTGACTTATACATGCTAAGTAGCTGAGATCTAGACATTAAGTTCATGCTGTACATGGACACACAGGAGGACGAGAATTCTAAAATTCTGGCAGATATGAGCATGGA